CTATGCGCTAAAGTTGGCAATAATTTCACTGACAAGCGGCGGTAGCTTGATCGGTATAGTTCGCTTGCGGGCTCAATCCACGGAGTTTGTTTTTTTGTTGTAGTTTATCCGTAGCCGGTCACGGTAGCTGAACGGTCTAAGGCATGTACTGTCATCGCTCGCTCGGAAGCCGGGATCGTGGGTTCGAATCCCACACGATGCATGGATGTTTGGTACGTGTGTTTATTCTGTGTTTGTGTTGTCCTGTGTTTAGGTATTGGCCTTGCGACGAGCTGCTCACTCGTCCAAGGAGTCCTACCGTCTGTAAAATGATCAAAATGAAAGAACATCCTCGACACTATAAAGCTGTAAGAGAACGGATTAAGTAAGTAAGTTTATCCGTAGACATAGAGTTAATTCATTCATCAATGGCTCTACGACACGCTGTTGGACCCTGGCCGCTTTTTCAGTTTTGTAATCCTATGCACAGTCGGTAGGACTCCTTGGACGGGGAATCAGCCTGTCGCTAGGCCGCTACCTACACACAGGACAGCACAAACACAGAATAAACACACACAGACATTAATGACTCGAACCTACGACCTCAGTGTTATAGCGAGCGAAGACAGTTCATACCTTACTTAGACCGCGAAGCCCATAGCTCAAGCGGTTAGTCGCTGGCTTCCCACCGCGGCGGCCTGGTCAAGTGGGATATGTGGTGGACAAAGTGGCGTTGGGGCAAGTTTTCTCCGAGTACTTCGGTTTCCCCTGCTAATCTTCATTCCACCAATTGCTCCACAATCATCCTCATCAATCATCTGGGGCTGGTAAAATAGGCCAGAAGTGGTCGCAGTACAAGGGACTTAGTCTCACCCCACTAGTAATAAAAAGATAATAGACCGCAGGGCGACGTGGAATACAAATTGTAACTGCGAAATGCTCACTGTTGAGCTACAGTACGTGAAATATCAAGGTTCATGACCTGGACGTAATACGTCATTACCTGGTCCGTCTCCTTCCACAATTTGCCTTTCTGGATCGATTACTGAGCCACTGAACCTTGAAAACGTGACGTAACATTTACCAGCGACTCGAGTCGCAGCGCTTCCTAGCGGCAGCTGTCGCTGCCTTGTGGAGAACTACGGAACTTGAGATTCCGAGTACACGCTCCGGGTTTTACCCACCTCCTTTAAACACCGTGTAGGCCTACAAGCAGAAAAGCACCTGTTGTTCTGTGTTTGCTTTCATTGTCAAGATCACAGTGGCTGGAACTGTATGAAGCAGGAGTAACGCTCAGATTAAGAAATACACAAGTTCAAGCAAGTTTAAATGAAGAGTTCTGTCTTCTGGAATATAACCCCTTACATGTCTTGCTTGGCTTATTCTTTGACCCTGAAGATGGAGGCGATACATTCCTCCGAAACATCGGTTGAGTTTCAACTGCGCGGCGTTATATCCCAGAAGACAGAAACATGAATACTGTCACGTGTAGGGAGGTACGCGTGACGAGAATGACGGGTTCTAGTTCGGATGATTGGATTTATTGGCATTTTGGTTACAGCCTCTCTTAATTACATTAAATACAGCGCTATCGCTGATTTACACACTTTACAGTTCACCGTTTCAAACGCATTAGGATTCTTAGTTTCCACTAGTCGTCTCGTAACAACGGATGTGAACACAGAAACTAGCACAGTCTCACTGGATTACACACTCCCAATACCACACGCAAAGTCTTCACAGGCCTACTCCCTGTACTCTCCTTTACTCCTGGTTTCAATTCGCTCAGTCGCGTGCTTCACCGCTGCTATTTCTCTGATTCTCACGGATTCAAGTCGAAGTCAAAGTCAAAGTCACATTGCGACTGACGGTCAGTCAATCTGTCTGTCTTGGTGTCGAACCCCGGCTGGGGCTCATGACCAGATGTTTCTTCTTGTATGAACTTTACTGTCCTGTATATGTGGGGCGCCCTTTCTGACCAGAGGTCGGGTTTGTCATTTGTCTGTTATAGTCGGTAGTATTAAGTACACTTATGTACAAATGTATTCTTCTTATCTATTCCTATGTACAATATTATACAAGGCCTCTGTCAGACCAGGCTCAGTACAGCAGACTATGCCCTATTTATAGTAGCTTTCACCACAACGGCTGTCTAGTAATTTGAATGGTCGTATGCCTGACCGCCGCCAAGTTTAAGCCTCTAATACGTACTTTCTCTGTCGAACTCAGAACACTGTCCCGCACTTGTATAGTCGAGAGACCGACATTGAACAACAGTAAACACATATTATGTGACCCCTTACCCATTGTTGTTCTGTGACATCACCGCACACGCGCAGTCTGACGGACACGCAGAAAACATGTCAAGTGACTGCCAACTACTTTTGCTCTGTGACGTCCCGCTCCTGCGCCAGCTTGCTCTACTGTTGCATGCGGGTATCGTGTTTACAGAGCTGTTGCCTGGCAACGCGTTGATCAAAGACTCCACAAAATTATTTTTTGGTGTCCTCCATCTTCTTTCAAAGAGAGACAGGGGACGTGTCCAAAGTAAGCCATGTTTAAATAATTAAATCTTAGCATGACTGAGAATGAATGCGGATTAGACTGACCGCAACACTTTCACTTCGTTTCAACACATTGGCAAGAGAACCGAGTGGATTTCATAATAGTGTCACGTTCTGTTACAGGGATAGCTTCACCTTTTGTTTCCTTTCTTTAGTTCCAGTGTAATGCTTGCTACCACTCAGTCCAGAACCTTTTGTCTTCCCGTCTGCTGTCCAAAAACAAAAATTAGAATATACAGAACTATAATTTTGCCTGTGGTTGTGTATGGGTGTGAAACTTGGTCTGTGACATTAAGGGAGGAACACAGACTGAGGGTGTTTGAGAACGGCATGTTGAGGTTAATATCTGGACGAAAAGATATGAAGTGACAGGAGGTTGGAGAAAACTGCGTAATGGGGACCTTCATAACTTGTACTCTTCTCCAAGTGTAATTAGAATAATCAAGTGAAGAAGGATGAGATGGGCAGTGCATGTAACACGAATGGGTGAGACGAATGCATATAGGATATTGGTGGGAAAGCCAGAAGGAAAGAGACCATTAAGAAGACGAAGATGCAGGTGGGTGGATAATATTAAAATGGGTCTTAGAGAGATAGGATGGGATGATATGGATTGGATTGATCTGGCCTAGGATAGGGACCAGTGGAGGGCTCTTGTGAACACGGTGATGAACCTTTGTGTTCCATGAAATGCTGCACAGCTGACGGCTTCTCAGGAAGGGCTCAGCTCCATGAGTGAGTGAGTGAACTTAATGGTTATGTAGGCGCTTTCCCACTCTGCCTGCCTGTTAGTCACAGTTGATGCCCGCCTCAGTAATTGCTCCGACGCTCTATGTACTGCGGGCAGGCACAGAGCATAAGTTCTGGATCATTGGCGCTTGTTTCACGCATGAGAGGCTGTTCGCCTGTTGACGTTTTAACTCTGCCCTCTGTAGGACAGATAAAAGAACTAATTGCCGCTCCGGTCTGTCCGCATCATTTTCCCGATTTTCTTCGTGCCTCTTCGGCTCTGTGTTTATTGGCGTTTTCATGCGAATTGGAGCCCAGAAGAGAAGATAGGAGACACCAGGCCAGACGTCTAATTGTATCTTTAACATGCTTATGTTGAGCTCGCAGTAATTTGGATCTGCTTTGGATCCGTTCCAGGTTCCTATATTAGTTGCATACTGCAGTGCCTCAAACCGATGCACCGCGGAAACGTAGATCTTAATATTGTTTCATATAGCGTTAATGAGGCTTCAAGTTCAACCCCGGAACATATCGCAGTCCCGCGGGACTCATGACCATATTTTACTGTCTCAGATTCGATGCTGGAGGGCGTAATGAGGAGCTTCATGACTTGTACTCTTCTCCAAGTCAAAGAGGATGATGTGGGCAGGGCATGTAGCATGAATGGGGGAGACGAGGGAGACATATAGGATATTGGTGGGAAAGCCAGAAGAAAAGAGACGACTGGGAAGACGAAGACGTAGGTGGGTGGACAATATTATAATGGATGTTAGAGAGATAGGATGCTATGGATTGGATTGAGGTGGCTCCTGATAAGGACCAGTGGAGGACTTGTGAACACGGTAATGAACCTTCGGGTTCCATTTGGAGTTTGAGTAGCTGCACAGTGGGCGGTTTCTCAGGATGGGCTCAGCTCCATGAGTGAGAGAGATTCGAAAACCCCCAACCTGCAGGCCCAGGTCCTCGTATTTATATGCCCCAGGTTCTGGTTTGCATTTTCGTCGCCCGCTACGACTCGCAGGACTACGGTGGAGGTATTCGAAGCCGTCTCCACGCTGGGTTTCCTGATAGAGTCAGAGTCGAGAGTTACTTTACGGTGAGTGGTTTACTACCAGTCAGTTCGTCTTGGCAACAAGCCCCTTGAGACCCACTACCAGTATTTTTTTAACCATACACTTGCGGTTATAGTCCTTATGTAACATCCTCTCCGACGAGAGGATGGTTCTGACGGTTTCAATTGCTGCTGGCCCTCGCCAGCGCAGTAATTCACAGGTCCGAGTCCCGCGGAACTCGTCACCATATTTTTACTGTCTCACATTCGAGACTCCCCCAACCTGGAGGGCCAGGTTCCCGTATTTATATCCCCCAGGAACAGGGTGGCCCAGTTATACCCCCAGGCACTGGGTTCCTTTTTCGTCACCTCTTACGACTCGCAGGGCTTCGGTGGAGGTATTCGAACCCGCCTTCATGAGGGGATCTCAGTAACTTGGTTGCCCAAATACGTTATCTCCTTCCTTATATCCACGTTGTACGGAACGAGTAGAAAACACAAGTTTCCAACAGTAACTCTGTTGTATGCGTATTCGTTGTCTAGAAGCGGGTTACATAACACCGTTGTTTGTGTTGCATGCGCAGGCGCTGCGTGTGGTTTACCACTGCTACAGTGCAACAGCTAACAAGATGCTCGCTTCGTGTTGTGTGCTGACCGCTGTTGTCTTTGTGTTCCAGATTCCTTTGTGAACAGCCAGGAATGGACTTTGAGCCGCGGCGTACCGGACCTCAGACTGGGGATTGTGGGTTCGTTATCGTCCGGCAAGTCTGCGCTTGTGCATCGCTACTTGACTGGCTCATACATGCAGGAGGAGTCACCTGAGGGCGGTCGCTTCAAGAAGGAAATTGTGGTTGACGGCCAGAGTTACTTGCTGCTGATCCGGGACGAGGGTGGGCCCCCGGAGCTGCAGGTATGGTCCGTCCACTTTTCGCCTCAACACTCGTGAGTGAGATCCGACTGAGGTTTACACGGCCATGTTGGGCTATGGCAACGTGGGGTCTCGTAGGTGCGTCCCGGCGTTTCGGAGTAACATGCGTGACGCATATAATCTTAAACCTGAAACATATGTTTTGTTCCTAGTACATTTTCGTTCCTTCATTCTTACGATGTTCGAGATAAGGTAAAGTTATAAAAAAGGAAAACTATCCCAGGAATAAATCGTGGAGGCCCATAGGGGTGTGAGACGTCGAGGCTCCCACATTTTCTACACAGTCGGCTCATAGATGGCGGCAAGGTTGTCAGCCCTACGCGCCGGCCGCCCTTTACCCCCAAGAATATTCCTGGTACTCATTTTTGTTAGAGGCTGAGTCGACCCCAAGGCGGCCCTAGTGCGGCTGGAAGGATTAAGTCAATTTAAAAAAATCCAGTGACCTCATCGGGACTTAAACCCGCGACCTTCCGACTTGTAGTATAGTGCCTCAACCAACTACGCTACCGCGTACCCCTGTGAGATTTTGAGGCTCCCACATTTTCTAGACACTCGGCTCACAGATGGCGGTGAGGTTGTTAGCCTTACGCGCCAGCCGCCCTTTACCTCTAGTAAGTTTCCTGGTACTCATTTCGGTTAGAGGCTGAGTCAGCTCCACCGTTCTTGACGTCCGCAGTTAGGTGGAGGTGAGTGGTCAGCTTCACGTCCTACCGAGGATAAAGTCCCCGGTACCCATTGTGTAGCAGGGTGCGTAGGCCCCATATCCGGTCTGGACGGTATGGAGAAGAGAAAAAAAATGTTGCCCCTCTCTGGAATCGAACCGTTGCCATCCAGCTCGTAACCTTTCGCTGTAGTGACTGAGCTATCCCGGTTACGTAATAATATGAATTTGTAGTGTTTCCAAGCCTTGTTACGCTGTGTGTACATGCGTGAGCCTTGAGCGTGGCGCCAGTGAGAGAGATTTATAGGAGAAGTAACAAAGTAGCAGTGGCGGCCCTACCGAGATAAGGAAACGCAATCCCAGTGGCGCGAGAAATGCCGTCTGTATGTGCTACCATTGTTGTGGTACCGCTGCTTAGCATCTGTCGGGTAGAATAATGGAGTCCTTGTCCGTCAGGGTTGCAGCTCTGATAAAACGGGCACCCTTGTTTGTAACTGAATCCCCCTAATCCCTGTGTATACAGTAGCACAAACTGGAGTAGTGCCTGAGGTTAATGCAAGAAGGAGGTATGAATCGCATTGCACTGGAAAGTGTGAAGCCTGTTCCGCTGATATTTGTGATAATAGTACATTGTTCGTGCTAGGGGAATTCCACTTCGAGTAGGCCGTCCAGTAATGATATAAAATACAGGTTTAAGCTCTTGTAAGTTTTATTTTATTCATTAAAATGACATATGGCCGGTCACGGTAGCCGAGCGGTCTAAGGCATGCACTGTCTTCGCTCGCTCGGAAGCCGGGATCGTGGGTTCGAATCCCACTCAGGGCATGGATGTTTGTGTGCGTTTTTCTGTATTTGTCTACAGGTAGAGGCCTTGCGAAGAGCTGATCACACACTCAAGGAGTCCTACCGTATGTGTAAGATCTAGGAAAACCGAAGTGAACGGAGAAGTTCATGGAGGTAGGCCTAGGCCCACTGGGGCTGTAGTGCATATGATTGCTGTGAGTTCAAAGTACAGGCGGAATTACTATCCGATGTACAGGAGGAGAGATCTGACAGTAAACACGTATAAGGAATTAAATTGTTGCCTGCAGCACTGCGCAGGCGCGTGTTACTGTCAGTCCCGTTACGTGTTCCGCTCCAGGCCAGTAGCGAGTGACCTGCGCCTGCCTGCATCAGCGCTCTTCTTCTGAGTAACGAACAGTACCTGCAATATGCGCGCGCTGCGCTCTTCCGGCACACTGTGTTCTGTCAGACGTGGCATCATTGCTGTATTAAGGTATAGATAGATGGGTATCCATATTTGGACACTTATGGTAACTGTTATTTCCTCCGCTGGTAAATTCCTTGTCACCAATATGCATAATATGTTTGATATTTATATTAATTTTATTTAAAGACGCTATCAAATAACTTAAGCTATACAGGTTTAAAGTGAGACGGGATAGCTCAGTCGGTATAGCGACTGGCTACTGGCTCGACGACCGGGGGGTCGGATTTATAGTCCCGGTGGGGTCAAGAATTTTCACTTCACCGTGTCCAGATCGGCTCTGTGGCCCACCCAACCTTCTATCCAATGGATGCCGGGGTAAAGGGGCCGTGGCGTGTAGCTGACCGCTCATCTCTGACTGGTTCCGAGGCCAAGAAAATGTGGATATATACATCCACTTTCCCACACACCTTCATGGGATAATGCTTAATTAGTTAAGCACAGGGACAACTTAAACAGTGTTAAATGATACTTTGATTGGTGAATAACAAATAATTTTTAAGGAAGTGGTCCTGATCTAATTTGATTTACCTGCTTCATTATTTTTTTTTTACTTGGCATATTCTTGTGCCCTGAAGATGGAGGGGTCAAGTTCCTTTGATACGTCGGTTGACTTTTGAACGAACTACAGGTCTTCATGACCCAGAAGACAGAACTATTCATAACCACCGGTGTGAGAACCTAAATTGCTGACTTTTTTTGTATCCTGTTGCCACGTTCTTGCCTGTTTATTCCGTGTTCTGTAGAACTCTGTTATTCGCGTCACCTGTAGTTCCCTCGTCATGTCTTCATTCCCCCCTGGAACCGTTCTTATGGCGCCAGTCATTGAGATCCGCGTCGTCTCCTCAGTTGTTCCCACGAGCCACGATCCGGTACTGTGAGGCGCTGTTGGTCTGGTAAGTCTTGTAAGGCCGCACCTTAGCTCAAGCGGTTAGTTGCTGGCTTCCCACTGCGGTCAAGTGGGATTTGTGGTGGACAAAGTGGCGCTGGGGCGGGTTTTCTCCGAGTACTTCTGTTTCCCCTTCCAATCTTCATTCCACCAAATTCTCCATTATCATAATCAACTGGGGCAGGCTACAATAGGCCAAGTCAGTGGCCGCCGTGCCGAATGGACCCAGTTGGACTCCACCCCCCACTAAGCGAATTAAAAGAAAAGTGTCTTGTAGGTTCATATTGTAGGTTCCGCTTTCACGGGTTTGATCCACCGTCCCGCTGAGGATTGTAAATTTGCCTGACAAACTTCGGAATAATAGACTTTTACGCATGAAATGTACAAACTGTAAATTAAATTAATTCAGGTGGGGATTTTTTCCTGCCGTTTCTGTGACCAAAGCCAGAGCATTGGGCTCCTTGATTGAGCCAGACATTTAGAGCGTCCCGCCTGACTGACGTGACGGAGAAGTTGCCTACAAGGCAAGGCGTTGTGACACTGTTCACCTCGCGACACGTGCATCCAGCTTTCACACATATATAAATATGACGAGAAGTTTCCCTTGCATCCTTTTTTTTTTTTTTGCTCTGAAAGTTGACATCGATTCGTCATGGAGTCCTGTTTCCTCCTCCACGTGCAACACCCTCCCTGCTTCTTCACCCCTCTGCAAGTACTTGGCGCCGACCTGACTCACTCCAGTCCACCGGCAATGTACAGTCGCGTCCGTTAGCATGATCCACCTCCATTCTGTCCACACAGTATATTTGTGTGTTCCGTTTGATTTTTACAATAAACAGCGACTGTTTCCCTAAACAGCATTAACCGGTTGGCCTTTGTAGCAGAGACGTAATGTGTTTCCTGTGAGGTACGAACTGAACTCTGCATTCTGTCCGTAATTTGTTTCCTGTGAGAGGAGCTGAATTTATATATATTACAAAACACTGCCTTCTCCCACACAGTTTATTTATGTGTTCCGTATGGCTCTCAAAATAAATACCCATTGTTTCCCTAAACAGCGTTAACTGGTTGGTCTTTGTAGCGGAGACGATGCGTTTTCTGTGTGGTACGAACTGAATAATGATAACTCATTCATCAGTGGCTCTACACAACCCATTGTTGGGCCCTGGTTGCTTTTTCAGTTTCGTAATCCTATAGACAATAGGACTCCTCGGACGGGGGATCAGCCCATCGCAAGCCGTCTACACAAGACAGCACAAACTCAGAATGTGGGCCTCGAATGGGATTCGAACTCGCTATGTAAGCTTTGGAGCCCTCGAAGACTGTTCATGCTTTAGACCGCGCGGCCAGCGTGATCGGCGTCAAGGAATCTTCTTCTTGGCCTTCCTGGGGTACGTCTTCCTGTTTGTTGGTTTATAAAATTGAAGTTGCTTGGGAGCTCTCTGATGTCATCCTATGAAAATGGTACAGCCATTTTCCCCCAAATTTTCTAATGTTTTGTGAAATTCATGCTTCAAAGGGATGAAATATTTTGTACCTCAAAATTAACACATAAAATGTTCGTTGGAGAGTTTTCTGTGGAGATGAGTAGATTGTATCTAGAATTAACAGGGAAACATGACAGACTGTTCCTGAGATCTGTTCCCTGTAATTGTGTGTAGTGCCCTATGCTTGGCCACGGGTTACTCCCGTGTGTGTGTTCTTAAACTGTTTCGTGATTTTTATGGTATTCAGATGTTGCTAACATTTTCATTTAAAGGGGTTGCAAAGTGTCTGATTATGAGTGGAAAATCTCATTTTCCTTTTTAATACTGAACTTTGACGTTCCAGTTTATAAGCCTGGACTCCACGAGTGACAAAGACGTTTTGTCTTGCACGGACGGAAAGATACATATCTCTGTGTTGAAATGCTATAGCAGAACTTGGAGTTTGTACGTTAGATACTGCGAAAATGTGCCGACTGAGGAAGTGGCAGAATATGGAAGCGAGAGAGGAGGTATTTATCTTCTCAAGATCATTGCGTTATCGCGTGCACAGAGCAAGAAATAGTTCCGACGACGTTCGTCTGCTGATTCTCCTTTTCCAGCCGTTTCGTGTAGAGGTGTACATAGGCACGTGTATGTAAGCTAATACCACTTATTTACTTACTTACTTACTTACTTACT